ACAAACCAAAGCACCTCGCTGTTTTGGCTGTCTACCAGGTAAACGACGCACCGGCAGCGCCCGTAAGGCTTCTTCCAGGTTCATCGTGCTCAGAACTGACGCTTGACTGGAAGCTGCCCGTGGAACGTATGCTCCTCGGTGCTGCTACCAGGCAAAGTACTGGACCGATGCAAAATAACCTGAATACTAGTCAATTAATATTTATTTTTATAAGCGCGTAGACGACAAATTGCGACATATAAAAAGACCAAACATCACCATTAGGGGCGTTACAGTGTGTCCACGTATCGGATTATAAAAAAACGTTACTCGACTTTTTTTTTACTGTCTTACTCACACACCGACCAATCTCTGCTTCTTTAGCTGCATCATTATCGGCATTTGCTTGGCCCAAAACCTGCAGGTACCGTGAAAGTGTTGTGATAGCGAACTAATACAACACGCACACACCTGGAGAGCTTGCAAACGCACCGCCGCCTTCGCCGCTATACATACTCTGTCGGCATGAGACCGATTTTTCGTTTTCGAGAATAAGAGGCTGAGATTCAGGAGGAATTTTTGTTCGGAATGTAATTTATCCTGTCAATGGTGCTGACGTACCGTAAAGTCCGGATTCAGTAAGACAGTGGTAAAATGTTCTCGGTCAATATTAACTTCATAAAAAGGCTCATATATTTACGAGTGGTAAAAAGTCTAAACTGTTTACCGCCATCCACTCACAGCCAAGTCCTCAATGCCATCCGTCCCCACTTTTTGTTTGGTGATGATTCGCCGGCCAAAAAACACTAACACAGCTAAACTCAAGGCTCTCGATCGCGGAGAGAAGACCGTGGTCGCTGCCGCGGCCCTGGACGTAAATCGATCAACGTGGTACCGCTGGAAGAAATAAGAAGCCACCATCAAAGTGGCTGCGCATTACACGCCTACCAATTTCTACAATTCCCGAACTACAAAAATATATGTTCGGAACCCCAACCTAGAGATAAAGTAATTTTTATTATTATTATTAAATTTTATGACTGTGCTGACCTTATTGCAATGTTTAGACTGCTTGATTGGATCGTGGAAATGCGGAAAAAATCGTTACTTGTGTGTATCAATGGCGTGCATGCTGATTATGCTTGATCGTTACGATCCTGAGCGAGCTAAATCTCGCACCAGCTAGGAAACCTAGTGTTTGTAAAGCGCTTTCTCAAGCGTAACCGCCTTACTGCTCGCCGAACTACTCATAAGGGCAGAATGAAGCGCCCTGACATGGAGGTAAAACAGTTATTCTCTACTGTGCATATTATTTCCTACCGAATTTATTTTAATTGTAAAGTTTAGCTTGTTGCCAATGTGTTTTCGTAGTCTATCCAGCACGTTGAAGAAGATGGCATTCTGGCATCCGAGAGTGGAGACGGCAAGGACGCCGCCATATTCAATATGGACCAAACAGCCATTTACATCGATATGGCCGGCAAAACGACTATAGATTTCACTGGAAATCCCACTATTGACATGCTGCAAGGTACAAATACTGCTAATTTGTTTTTTTTTAATTTAGCATTAACCTTTTTTGAGTAGAGAGTGAAATCAACCGTTTCCGAGCATCGGTTTTTCTTGCTGCATCTGCCACAGGAGCCAAACTCGCTCCACTAATAGCTTTCGCTGTGGTACCCGGAGGCCCAGTCTCTCAAGAAGTGTGGAATCCGGTCGTTGGGTCTCCTCACGCGGAGCATACCGTTGAAAAATGCGTTTTGCAACCTGAGATTAGTCCTGGGAATGATCCGTTGTCTGATAGGCGGTAAGGTCCCGAGACCAGAAGCGTATTCTTAACAGTCAGTTGTAGCTAGATCCAGAAGCGGTAGATCATTCGGCTTTCTGCAGTGCAGTGCAACAGTCACTTCAAGCGACCCTTCCGCTCTTTCAAGCTTCTCAAATGTCGTCGAGACACCTCGCTCCGAACACGCTTGCCTTTTTCGGCCCAGGACACGCCTCTGAGCTGACAGAGTTCTGCAATGTACGCCTCCGCCGTTTAAGTGGCGAGGAAGCGGTTGATCAAGTCGTGCGACCTGACTCTGACGAGGATGGGCAAGAAATATCGGTGCCTAGTTCAACCTTCGAACTCCGGGTCGTTGAAGCGGAGAAGGGGCAGCTGTGGCCAGGAAGTTACTTGGCGCACCCAGTAGCGCTCGTTCAAGCAGGAGGACCACGAACTGGTCAATGGGCTTACGGTGTTGTTCTTCGCTACGATGTGAACTCGAAAGGAACATGGCTTAGTGTGCTCTCCGGTGAGGACACCATCCTTGTCCCTTTGATCGAGCCGATACGTATTATCAAGGCAGACTCAATTACATACGTGCTTCAGATCGGTGCAACAGTATCCGACACGACGCTAAACCCGAGGGAACTTCTACTTCAACAGGACACGGTCATAGGGGCGTGATGCAAGAAGCGGGGAGCTCTTCCTCCACCGGTGCGAGCATTACTCTCCGCTCCGAACGTACCCCTCTCGTTGAACCCTCTACTTTGGCTGTCGTGTCCGTACGTCGCCAGCATATTTTAGATTGTTCCATGGGGAAACTAAAAAAAACGCGCTCGATCTAAACCGCGATACGCTACCGGGCAGACAAGACGAGGCTTTGTCAGTTTCGAGTAAGGCTAGGCCAGCTAGGAGGCGTTCGAATTACGCTTCAAGTACCTACAGTAGCTCAGATGATGCGGACATACAGGAACTCCAGCAAATGAACCGTACACTCGGCAAACGACGGCGCGCAACAGACCCGAGCCTTCGAGACCGCCACAGTCGACCACGCCTAGACGATAGCGAACAAGACGAAGATAGTGATGGCGTCGGCGCCCCCCCCAAAGCCTTCCTGCAGTCAGCAACCCAGAGATGCGTTAGCAAGACTGTTCTCCAACCTCGTTTCCTAGGTACAGGTGACCACGGAAAAATTCGCCATGAGACATGTCCGAATATCTGGTCTGATACAAATCTTTTTTCAATTGTAGCCAATGATATTATATTTACGCAATTTATAAAAACCAATCAAAACCGCTTATAGTTTTACTGGACACGGTTGATAGAAAATTATGTCACTTCGAAACCAGAACGATGCGCGTCGAGAGCTCGTACAAAACACAATTCAAGCAGCAAGTTATTTCTAGGGCTGCAGTCGTTGGTGTTGATAGACAGCAGCCCAGAAGCGCTTCGACATTACACGACGTACCATCATGGCCTGAGATGCTATTTCCGAAGAGAGTGTTCTCCACAGTTTTGGAAGGCAATTCCTCGTCACTACGACGACCTAGAATTTCTTTAATAAAATAGTTTTTTTTATAACTTGAGTACATCTACGACCTTTCTTTTTTAATGCGTCTTTTTTTATTAAAATAAATAACTGACCTTTTCTTGTATTAACTGACCTTTTCTTGTATTTGAACTTTTGTTTTTGACCAATCGAATTAAGTGGCGAATTTTTTTGTGGACAACCGTTAACTATGGAGGATAGTAGTCAGTGGTGGCGAATTTTTCCGTGGTCACCTGTAAGTCCGCTTTGTATGTGCTTGAACGAATGCAACATTCCAGAAACGCGTCATTCCTGCGGCCCCCACCAGTATGTCGTGGGCTTCTGGATTTCGGCTTCCTCGCGCGAGGCCTCACGTTGATGCACTGTCGACCAGTCGATATATAGGCCCAAGTAAAAACACAAGAATCCAACACCAGTATGACCGATTTCTCGGAGAGCAACGCATTACGCGCCGCTCCCTCAGCAACGTCCCGCTCTGATATCAGCAGTGCACTCCGCGCTCTCCGAGGTTTTGCTCAGGAATTCTACGTTGATGACGTAACGGATCTCATCGATAGCGCACTGACGTTTATCGAGCGATACAGAGGCATTGCAGACTCAGACACTGTCGGTTGGAAGCTGGTCAGCTTTTGGATTACGAAAAAGGTTGGGAAATTTCGTAGCTGTGTCGCCGCTCGCGATCTCGAGTCAGCACAAGAAGTTCACCACGAATTCTCACCCATGGACGAAAACTCACTCGAGCTACTGGACCTACGCCGATCTCACAACAACGGCCCCGCCGCGCTCTCGCGAAGCCAAAAACAGTCAGACGGAGGTCGTCGATCGGAACGCCAACGTCGATAGTTATCAGTCCCAACCGAAATTCTATCTGCTCTTCCTCATCAAGGCGACAAACGGCTCTGTATGAAGTACAACTTCGCCCTCGGATGCTCCAGAGATGGCCACAGTGGGTGCTTCGATAGCAAGCGAGCACATTTTCGGCCGCAGCGATTGGCGGACGTGGTAAACGCTTACATGACGGAGAAATACAATGATGTTATACCAGAGACTCAGACTCAGTGACTACAGGAAACGACGGGATGCCAACACCAGCAACACCAGTTCGCGTCCCAAGGAAGCCGTTCTGTATCCTCGTCGCCAACGGTCCAATTACTTAAGCGTATTGACAAATTCTCTGAGGCTGAACGGTTTAAACAAGTACGTGTATTTGCATCCAAGTTCGATATGGTGCCTCCTCCCTCCAGTGATCAAGGCAACACAATCGATGCTGCTGCCGCTAAATTCCTATCAGATCTCGATAGCCGAACTCAGTTATCGCTAACGGCTTTTGTTCGACAAGTGCGTGGTCAAACACTCACAGATGGGAGGCCAAACATAGCACTATATGAAGTCCCCCTGCCATCTAATTCCAGTCCGCAAAGTCTGTATCGCCAATGGAACGAGATTGCCCGCGAAGGAGTACGCCCAAAGTGGACTAACAATGCCACGCAGGTTCAACTGATACGGCCACCAAACCACAAGAGCGCCATCACGAACCCACAAAGCGTTCGCCGCGATATTCGTAAAGGGCAGTGCGATGGCAAGTATCTCGTGCTCAACGAGAGTGTGCTTCAACTCTGGCCAGAACTTGTTGTCAGCCCCGTCGGCGTGATCGACAAGGCGGGTGACGACACTCGTATGATCAACGATTACTCCTACCCACGTGGGTCTTTAGTAAACGAAGTTACTGATCGAGCCAACTTCCAGTCCATTTCGTACAATCCACCTCGGGATATTGCACGTCGCATTTACGAGCTGCGGATCCAGTACCCGGGCAAGAAAGTACTCATAATGCTCGGAGACATCTCCGGAGCTTTCCGGCACGTACCGGTTCGAGAAAATGCAGTGTACAGGTTCACATTTGTGTACGATGGCTACGTAGTCGTCGATTTGTCCTGTGGTTTCGGCTGGTGTGGATTGCCGGCCTTTTATTCTCTGGCAGGCTTAGTTATCAACGACCTGTACGAATCGACAACCCTGACGGAGAAGTCGGGCCACGAACTTGGCCGTCTGCACGGTAATCTTTGGTGTGATGATCACACTTGTGTAGAGGTCAACCGAAGCCAGCGTTGCCAGGCAGCAAATTCAGCTCTACGACTTGCAATGGCTACCGTTCTAGGGCCCGCCGCCATCAATGACAGGAAGGTTACAGCTTGGACACACAAAACAAAGCTCTCGGTTTGCTCTGGAACACAAAAGACGGTACTGTGTCCATTCCAAACGATAAGCTGGACAAGGCAAGCCGTCGCCTTAACGAACTCGCCACAAGAGGACGAGCTACATGGACTGAGCTCAACAAGCTACTTGGTATTATGAGGCATGTGATGACGTGCTTCCCGCCGGCACGAGCATTCTACCAGCGTGTCCATGCTGCAGCAATCACCGCGCCACTGTTCGGCAGTCGCAAAATGGAATCGGAACTGTGAAACAAAAGCAGCTTCTACTGTCTGAGAATGGCTGAAGTCAATTAATCCCTGATACTGAACTCGAGCGGAGAGTGTGTCAGAGCGCAAATACGAGATTTGGCAAGAACATGTACACCAGGAAAAAAAAATGACGCTGGAGCTGCTTACCTGACAGTACCTTTCGAAAACAAAAGCCATGGAAATCTTCACAAGCTCTCTATAACCTTGTCCAGCTGAACCAAATACTACAGAAAAATGAATCAAAAGAGCTGTGAAAGCGGCGGCTTGACCACAGCTGAACGGCATCATCGCGTGAAGCCATCAAGACCAAACTATTGCGGGAACTGTGATGCCTTCGAAGAAGACATCCAAACTCGTCGTCTCTGCTGTCTGTTATGAACCATACTGCGGGTGAACTCGGTCTGTCGAAGGACATGAGCGCGGTGATAGACGGTCGCAACTACTTTATCCGGCGCAACTCACGGATCGGGGAATATCATACTACTACAACGAACTTCACCCTGCTGCCAGCTATTCATCTCGCTGGGTTGAGTTGCTAAAGCTTCACGACGAGACAGCGAGGTAGTCCTGCCGGCATCGGACTCGCCGACCGTGCTATCGGGACGTCCACAACAGCTAAGTACGCTTCATAAGCTATTTCTAGTTCTTAAGTTTTAGTATTGCCTGCTTCAAATGGGCTTTAGGTTGCCATTGTTCTCATTGAACGCATTATCATGTTGATTTTAGAGCAACTCTCCGCGAAGACGAAGCTCTAGATGCGACAACAGAATTTGGTCAAGAACAGTAAGAAAAGTAATCAACCACCGACCAGTAAACTACTTGTTGCTGCACTGATCAAATTAAGCTCAGTGGAACGTGCTTGACGAGTTCAGTTTGTGTCAAATGAAACATGGTGAGCTTGGCCTAGCAACGTCATTCGGAGAGCTGCAAAACTCACCAAATCGTCCAACCAATCGACGGAGCCAATATCCGCTGGAAGGATAACTCGGAGTGGACTCGTCTATTTAGTTCAGCATGTTCGTTTCAATATGTTAGAGTAGGTATGTAAAGAACGAAAGGAAAATCAGGAAGCGCGTGGTCTCATTAATCGGGGGATAGTGCGTACTATTAGCTAGTATAACTCCGCGTCGCACTTCATGGTTAACTAGGCTGCATGTAACGGAGTTACAACTCCGTTATACATATATTTATGGTGATTGTAAAAAAGTAAGAATTTTTTTGGAATCTAAAGAAAACATGTATTTAGCATTGGCAAACAGTTTACTCGTCACGCACCAAAGGTGCATCAGCAACGACGTCGGCTACCCGAAAACGACCCTCTTAATCAAGCGGCCCGGTCGGAATGATCCCCGCTCGTGCAAAACAATCGTGTCGGCCTTGACACTTTCGCACGCTTTAACGATGAAGCGTGACAGTAGCGCTCTCTTCTCAGTTGCCGAAGCTGGAAAGGGGTTATCTACATGGTTGGTAAGGTAAATTATCCTTTTGTTAAAACACACACACACACACACCAAGGTGAAAATAAGATATTGCAGGTATTGTCAAAGGAATAAAGTACTTTTCAAACGCACCTCCATCGATAAAATACTATGTCACGGTTGCATTATTAGGATAATTTGTGTCGAGAGAAGATAAAACGTTTGATTTCGCTCAGCTACTAACGATTTATGTGTCGCAGCCAGCCAGCAAGCACGATAAATTATCACAATTTCAATAGAATCAACATAAATAACGGGTTATGGGCATTATTGACAGCAAAATAAATTATTTTATCGGTCAATGAATATTGCCTTTTCAGTATATTTATTTTTCGGTTTCCCTGTTTATTATAGCAGACACTTCCTACTGCGACGACCACAATGGAGATGCGTTCGTGAAAGATGTTGTCCATACTCATTGTGCTCCAGCAGTTGACGTCAGTGCTGTGTGAGTTTATTTTTTTTGTTTCAATCTTTGACAACCCATAACTGTATGTATATGCGGCTATCTACCTTGGTTGTTATTGTAGTTTTATACACTTTAGTCTCGATGCTCACGGAGCCAAGATCGCCATAATCGGACGTCCTTACTCCTACTCGAAGCTCGCAACAACTTGCGCGACGGCGAATGCGCCCGAGTGACTGATGGACACACTGAGCTTGGCCAGCTCGAGGCGATCGAAGATGTGTAGTGGGTATCCCGACAGCTGCACGGTCGGTGCTCCCGATGCCGTCATGACGACCTCGATGTCTCGTCGTGAAGCTTCAGCACCTTGCCAGAGGTATGATTCAGTCGGAGCGACACTCGAGATGGCCTTAATCACTGCTTCCTTGACAGCCCAGCGAGCTGCAAAGCTGGCAGCAGGATGAGGTGCGCTGTAGCAGTATGCGCTCTCCTGATCGCTAAAGTTGCGCCGGATAAAGTCCTCGCGGTCGTTTAGACTCTCGAACGTGGCCACAGGCTGCACGTCCACCCCCACGCTCATGTTCTTCGACAAGCCGAGTTCAATCGCAGTGTTGCCAATAGCAGCCAGCAGAGACGACGAAGAATCAAGTTTGGATGTCTTCTTCGAGTGTACCAGTTTAATCGTATTGGTCTTCTTACCACGCTTTACACGGTGACGCCGTTGAGAGGCAGCGGTGCCGCCAAAGCGCCACGTCTGGGAGACCGCGTCGTACTGTGCACGAGCTGTCGGGTCCAGATACACGCTGCTCTCCAGTGCTGATGAATACGGCGCCTCGTTCTTTACTTGGATGTGCGGCTTCTTGCCCGTGATCACACTCTGTGCGTGCGTGTTCATCTTGACCAGACGCTTCTCACGACGAGCTGAATACTGTTGAAAGTCCACGACGGACAGCGTAGAAAGTAAATAATCCGGATGCACCACCAGCAGCTCTCCACTCGCCTGACCAAAGCCAAAGCTCTTGAGTAGCACGGCCTTGATACCGTTAGTCTGTAGACTCCGGTTCGGATATACGAGGTGGTTGTACTTTCGCAGCATCTCCCACGTGTTGTCCAGCTGCCTGTTGCCAGGAATCAGTCCGGTATTCAGCACCTGCAGCAGTCCGTTGAGTTGCCACGCGGCAGCCGCGCCTTTGGGGTGTCCAGTGATGCTCTTCTGACAGATGACCGACAACGGGTTGCCCGGAGAACGTCCTAGGTGAGTCATCTGCTTGTGTGTCACCTCACTCTCGTTCTTATCGTTGGCCTTAGTACCTGTACCGTGGAAGCTCGCTGCTCCTAGGTCGTCCACGTCCAGATTCCAGACACTCAACGCACCGCGAAGAGGAGCGATGTCCGTGCGTCCAACGTAGAAACTTTCGCCATACATGGCCTGCGCGGCCTTCACCTTGCGCTCCTTGATCTCATCGAGCAGCTTCAAGCGCGTATCGTCTACGTCGACCAGCATCTTCTCGCGTGCAAACCACTTCTCAATACTCTCAAGCTCATCGTCGAACTGGCGGTGTCGATACTCCACGTCCAGCAGCGGTGACAGCTTTGCCACGGTCTCACGAGCTGTGGTCAGAATCCCCTGGCCAGGAGCTGGTATCGAGCGGCCGATCTTGTCCGTCGCCGTGTTGGCGAGTGCGATAATTCCGTAGATCGGTAGCCCCATGTCCAGCGCAAGTTGAGCGTCCATCAACAGCTGAATGCCAGCACCATGGCTCTCCATGAAGCCGTCCAGCGTACTTGAACACGGACGACACATTTCCTTCGGCTCTCGACCCATACTCATCTCCTTGACCGAGTCACTCGTCGCCTTCATTTGTGCAAACTCGAACGCACTCTCCTCTCCAAAATCGTCGTAGCCGCCAACAATACACACGCGCGCTTTCCCGTTCTTGATTGTCTCGACGGCAATGTCAACGGACTCGGCAGCTGTGGCACACGCACCAACCGGAGTCTTGATCGGACCGGACGAACTGAGTAACAACATGTTCACCCAAGCTGGAGGTGTGTTGATGAAGCATTCCTGCAAGATGTCACTCGGAGCAGGCTTTCCCAGCAATCGTCCCTTGTAGATTTGAGAGTACGCACGGAAGCCTCCCATACCACCGCCAGACGTGTTACCGACCTCCGAGACGTGCACGTACTGGTAAAACTCATACGGGTCCGTCATGCCCGCTGCAACGAACGCATCCATCGTTGATGCCAAGGCGTACAGCGTGATCGGATCTACGGACTCAGCAATATCTTTTGGCAGACCCAGACGTTCAGCACTCCATCCGGTTGGGATCTGACCAGCTACAAACCGATCGAAGTTTAAAGCGCGGGGGATATTCAGGACGGAGCCCTTGCGTAGACAAATCATCCACGCGCCCGACGCGCTCTGGAACACGTCCACGTTGTCCTTGCCAAGCTCCTTGCGGAACTGCAGAGCTTCCTCTCGATCGGCCACTTCGATCGGCGACATCTTCTTGTCAATGGCAATTTGATGCAGCACCATCTTGTTCTTCGGGTCGTAGCCGTCGAACAGCTCCGGATCCACGATACGGATCCCCGCGTGGTTCAAGATATCCTCCTCGTAGCGGGCCTTCACCTGGTGGTCCGATACAATCTCCTCCGTCTTGGCATCGACCCAATTGCCACCCTTCAGCACGATACGGCCTGTCAGCCAAGCCAATTCAATGCAGCCTTCCAGCGAGAACTCGCCGTACGACTCCATCTCCCACCGCGTACGCGAGTTGCCCCACGGACTCACCTCTCCGAAGCCCGTTACGACGACAACTTGGCGCAGGTCCAGCATACCTCGCATCAATTCCTGCTTCGACGAGGCAGATAAACCAGCCACATTTGCCAGGTTAGGGAACGTGTTGCAGTAGTAGCTCGACAAGTTCGCACGAGGTAAAACCTTCAAATGTTTCGTCTTCCTCTTGTCAGCATGGATAGCCGTCTTCAGTTTCGCCGTCTTCATGATCTTCATACGAATGGCATCAACCTGGTCCTTCAGACCACTCACTTGAGCCATGCCGCCACTAAAGTCTACATAGATCGGTGCATCCGCCGCGCGATCAACCATAGTCGGGTGCAGCAGTGCGCTCAAGTTGAAGCCCATTTCCGTCATGCTGAATGTGCGCACTCCCATCTTCTCGACGTCAGCAGCGACCACGTTGTTACTCGACATGAGTCCTGTACCTCGTGTCCAGCCGATAACGGCACCGATGATGGAAAGCTGTTCACTCCAATCCTCCGACCGCCACTTGCTCATGAGACTCTCCATTCCCAGCTTCGACTCCGCGTACAGTCCGTCTCCACCGAAATCGCCGTGGTTTGGAGACATTGGAAGGATCACGAGCGCCGGACGAGTCGTAATGCCTCGTGTCTTCTTCGCTGTAACGACCTCACCCAGTAGACGAACGATGTTGGTCAGCATGATACGATGCGCCAGTTCCGAACGCGAGTCGATGTCAGTGATTGTGCGTCCAACTTCTGAGAGCGCTGCAAACGGGATGACGCAGTCCAGATCGAGCTTGTGTACGCTGTAAATGTGAGTCACTAGACCCTGCACATCCGTCTTGGACGCTTGATTGAACGGGAGTACAATGAGACGGCTACCGCGACTGCCGTGTTGTTGGTACATCTCCCGGAACACTCCTGTCGTCATCATGCTGAAGCTGCTCGTTGCCACGAACACAGTAGCGCCACCTTCCAGCAATGCTTTAACGATCTCGACCCCAATGGAGTTCTTACCGCAGCCAGTGAGTAGGGCCACCTTGCCAGCGAACGAGATACCAGTCGACGCCATCTCACGCATGCACGATAGCAACACGCAGGTCGATTCAACGTCGTACAATCGGAATGTCGGATCCACGTCGGACGGCTTGCGGACGTGTACGTGAGGGAGCACGATATTCTTCAGGCTCTCGCTAGTGATACCAGAACCAGCCAACGTCTCCGTTTCTACGTTGTCGTACTCCAGGCCACGAGCCACTTCATCGACGTAGCTGCTTGAGTCTCCTACACCAATGCGAGGTACTTCAGAGTACTCCAGCTCACCGTCCTCACGAACACGAAGCTGGGGCTGTGTTGGTGTGAAGAGCTGGATGTTCACAGGATCCGTGTTTACTCCGTCTTGGACTTGACCTGCCAGTAGTCGAAAGGTTTCAGCAAGCTCCGACCTGCCTTCTTTCTCAGCTCGTGATGAAAAGAACTGAATACACTGCAAGAGCTCAGGCGTGGCACGATTGTGCACGTACAGCTTGGCCCTCTCGAGAGCGGGATCTCCAGATCGGTCCTCGAGCATACTACCGTAGTACAGCTCCATCATGTCCTGAACAGCCCAGTTCCAGTAGCTGTCGTACTGTCGCTCCTTCTTCGCGTCGAACTTGCCAGTAATACCAGCAGTGTAGCTTTCGTCGTGCTCAGTCAGCCACTGAGACATTGAAGATTCGGCGTACTGGCGTACTCCCACCTCCGCTTCAAGTTGTCGATGCCAGTCCAGCTTATCTTCACCCAAGAACGAGTTCAGCGCGTCGACTTGATCCGCGATCATGGTCTTCAAACGCTTCTCAAAGTCTCTCGACAGCGAACTCGACTGGATCACCTGCTGTCCCAACGCCGGAGCTGCCATCATGCCTCCTAACTTCGATAGGTACGGGATTTCAATGCCAGAATACAGGGCGTAGTCGTCTGCAACTCCATCCAGCCACGTCTTCGCAGCCGCATCATCCGTCAGCCGCAGCTTCGGGTTCTGCGTCAGGCCGTGTAGCAGCACACTGTCGACCCGGCCACTCGGCAGACAGCGCTCACTGGACAAATACTCCTTGATAGCAGACAAACCGAAGCCACCAGGCATCTTACTCGCCAGCATCTTAGCAATCAGAGCACTCGTCGCTCTACCAGGCGACGCGTAGTCAACAAACGTTCCAGCTAACTCGACCAACTTCATCTCGGCCGCATCGTCAGGTACTGAACCAAACTCCTTCTCCACGTCACCAACGATCTCGTTCTGCATGGCCGACTTGCCCGCTGCCAGCTCCTTAATGGTCGCAGTCTCCAGAATCTCGTTAAAAGCCTTGCCGAACTTGGCAGCCAGCATCACAAGCAGAGAGTGTTTGGCCTCCACAGGTTTGCCACTCACCGTCGGGATCGACACGGGGACAGGGTTGAATGACATGCCCACAGCATCGGACGTAGCAGCTACCGTCGGACAGTCGAGAGAGATGCCAGCGCATGAAGCGTAATCCTTCATAGTCTCGTCCAGCCACTTGCGCGCGTCCGCATCGCTCTTGACACGAGTCTGTGGGGCAAGAAGCAGGGAGTGAACCAGCACGCTCTCCATGCGTCCAGCGCCCAGACCTTTCTCAGAGCTCAAGTACTCCTTGATACTGGACATCGTGAAGCCACCAGGCATCTTGCTCGCCACCATCCTGTTGATCAGACCATTCGTCACCTTGCCAAGCGTCTTGTAACCGGAGAACTTGGACTCCAGCTCCTTCAGCGGCATCTCCCCGGCATCCTCAGTAACCGAACCAAACTCCTTTTCGAGGTCACCAAGAATCTCATTTTGGACAGCAGACTTGCCGGCGCACAGCGTCTTCACGTCCGTATCTTCTCTGATCTCAGCCAAGTCCTTATTCAAACGCACAGCGAGGAACACACGCAGGACGTGGAGAGCGGCGACCGGAGCATCAGGAGCTGGAGCCAGAGCAGCTTGGATCTGCTGGACGGGGACAGCGGCAACCGGTGCCGGCGCCAGGACTTCCTCTACCTTCGGTACAGGCTCCGTAGCGATAACCTCGCCAGCTAACCCTCGAACGTGCTCGAAAGCTGAGATGTTGCTCGTCTCCTCTTCAAAATGCACAGCTTCGCGGTCACGCTGGTACCAGAAGATCTCACGTGGCACGTTTGGGTAATCGCCGATCTCAAGAGTACGCAGTGCCATGTTGGTCAGTGCCGGAGCTGGCCCAATCTCCACGAAGCGATGGACGCCACCCTGAGAGAACAGAAGCTGCTGCGTCTTAATCCACTGAACTGGAGACGCAAACTGGTACGCTAGTAACTCCACCATTAGCAGGTGAGCAAGTTGGGCCTTCGAGGCTGATTCCCACTTTTTTGAGTCAAGAATCTCAGCCAGATAGCGACTCCTAGTCGCTGCATACACCTTCTGGAAGTATGATCGCTCCAGCGAGAACGGAGTGGCCACCAAGTTGGGAATATAGCGACCCTCAAGAAGCGGTAGCTGACGTTCCAGCACGTGTGGGTCGAACTTAGTTCTCAGCAGCTCACGGAATGATGGCACACCGCTCAGTAGCTCACGCGAGTGGAAGGGCACGTCAATACCCGGTAGAGGGATAGTGGCCAGGCCTCTAGTCAGCATGAACGGACGACCACGTTGCTCGCATTCCTCCTTACGAGCTCGAGCTTGTTCCAGCGAGTACATGATGATCTTGTCCACATCTTCAGACTCTGTCGACTTCAGAGTCTTAAACGCAGCGAGACCGAGTGACAACGTCTCCAGATTCACACTATCACCGGCGACGACGTACTGGTATTGCTGGACGTTAAAGTTCACGACCTGTAAGAGTTTACCGGATGCTGCTTCAATGCCCTGTACGATCGTGTACAGCAGCTCTTCTGTCATATGAGACCCAACACGCATGGGGTTCGCAGCTACCATGCCATAGTCCGAGCGTCCTTCAGCATCACGTTTCACTGCCCTCTGCATGATCAAGCCACGTAAGAACACCACTTCCACCACGTCTTCTAAAGCTAAAACACCCGCAAACGAACTGAGACCGGCGTACTCGCCAAGTGAGTGGCCAGCGAAGAACGCGTCGCTCGGGATCAGTTGCGCATCCTCAATCTCCGAGAACATGGCCTTCTCCAATAGAACAATCGCAGGCTGGTTGAACTGAGTCGCAAAGAGTAAACCTTCCGGCAAGGAGAACGTGAAGCTCTGCGTGCGTGTGTTGATCTCGGGTAGCAACGGCACCGTCTCGCCAGTCGTCGGGTCTTCACACGTCAAGCTCATGTACTTCTCACGAATCCTACGGCCTTTCTTACCGCCAAAGTATACAGTGATCGACTTGGGATTGTTGTGTACAATGTCGAGGATCGAGAAGCCGAACATGTTGAGTAAGTGACGATCGCCACGGTCCCAGATCTCCCGAGCAATTGGGGATTCCTGGTATCGATTCATACCCATCCCTACCTCAGCCGAGCCTTGGCCGGTGAATACAAAGGCTGTCGGTCGTTGTTTCACGACGGCACGTGCAGTGATCACACGCTCACTTGATGAGTTGACGACCTCAATGGACAAGATCTTGTTCCCATTCTTCTGTCCAACGTGACGCGCTTGCATGAACAACTTGTCGCCCGGGTAAACCATGCCGTCGAAGCTCACTTCGTACTCGACGACGTTGCTGTCCAAGCCCTGACTGAAGCTCTGGGTCACCAGATCACGCACTTTAGTTGCTGTCCACATGCCGTGCATGATCGGTTTACCCTTCAATCCAGCCAGAATAGCAGCGTAGTTGGACCGGTGGATCGGATTCAGGTCTCGAGATGCTACGGCGTACGCCAGCGCGTTCGTCGGGACGTTGATCTCCAGCGGCGTCTCCAGCATGTAAGAACCATTGTTCACAAACATCCCGCTAGTCTCAAGCTGTACCTGCCGTAAGAACGCTGTGATAGGGCTCTCGTTCACTTCGTCGCTCTTGAACTCAACCGCGCCGATCTCGACTGTGGTCCCCGCTTCTCCACGGAATAAAACACCAGAGACTTCCAACGAGCTTAGAGAGCTGATCGACGCGTACTGCCTCTTGGTCGTTAGCTGAAGTGCTAGACGGTCCCCCACGTTTACTGAAGTCTCGGCTGCGAGTTTCAGCCATGTTTTCGTCTTTAACTCTTCTGCGTCTTTGAGAACGAACTCGTGCTTTGTCTCTTCAACGGAGAACGTGGACTCGAAGTCAGTGAAACAACCACGGATGAGGAACTCGCTGTGCAGTTCTACAAGAGGCTCAAACACCTCCATGTCGTCGTTCAAAGCTCGTCTTGAGATGGTGGCCATGCTGTGTACAATCTTGCCACTGTCGATAATGCGTAGACTAGCAACCTTGGCCGTGCTCACGATGTCGTCGCCAGGCAAGAACATGGCCGAGTACTTGCGTGAAGACAGCAACTTGTACGAATGCTTCAGATGCACGAGATTCAATAGATTGCCCTTCACTTCGTTCGCCAGCACCGACTGGATCAGCGCACGCCACGAGACGACCGTCGAGAAGTCAACAGGAGCGCCGACCTCGTCGCACTTGAGTCCCAAAGCTGTACGGTACGCAATGATATCCTCTTTCGTAACAGCAAAGTTAGTCATGAAAGAATCCTTAACACTCGCAGTACATGCAGCCTTGCACGACTCCTCTTCCTTGTCCTCAATCGCCACCCAGAAACGAGCGTAGAATGCCTTCACTTTGTCGATATAATCGCTGCCTTCAGCGTGGATCGAGCAGGACATTTCAGAATGGTAGGTAAACGTCATCTCCAGCGTCACAACATCAGCTTTTAGATCTGCCACCGCTGGACGCACCTCGCTCACTATAACCGAAATATTCGCATGTTTCTTCGTGATCTCGATCACAGGACCTGACATGTTAATGGAGCTGTCGAAAACGCGGATGCCGGCAGCGTTAACCACGTACTTTTGTCCTATCTGAGGCATAAGAAGCTGACGGATCGGGTTGGGAACCCACTTCTTGTTCTCGACAACGTGATTCGACGAGATAACCGCATTCAGCCAGTCTTTGTCCATCACGGATGCGGCTAGAGCAGTGAGCCACTCATTAGCAGAGACCAGGGCGCTTATCGAGTATTCCATACTGGCTTGACTCTCCGTAACTTGTACACTGGCGATATTGATGGCCTGCTTGATGGTTCCCCCAACAGCAACATCCTCCGACACGGTACTGGCGAAGCCGTCGACAATGCCTGTTAAGATATCCGCGACGGGCTCGTCCATTATCGTACTGTGGCGAACTGCTACAGGCCCCTGAAGGATCAACACGCGCTGCTCATCGCGCTCTGGCACTGCGTCCAAATCCTCCGAGTACCAGAGCGAGTCCTTCTTGAACCAGGTCTTGAATTCCGCGTCAATAACAGGCATGAAGTTCACGGGCTTGCCACCAGAGCGACACAGTTCGAGGAAGAACTCGCAGTCCAAGACAGACATCAACGTTGATGCTACTTGCGGATACTTCGCGACAAAAGCTTCAAGCGCACCTCGCGGGTTCATCTTCAGCTCCGTTGTGGCAAATATATCATCAGAGCCTTGACGGTGGAAACGCTGCTCTGTGCGCACCAAGAAGTCGCTGAAACGCGAGAAATACGACTCGTCCAGCCATCGCTGCGGCTTCACAGGGATCTCCACGGACATCAAGTCGATCATACGAGACAATACTTCTCCGTACGTCATCTGCTCCAAGTCAGCGGGGACTATTTCAACAGTCTCGGCATCAATTTTACAGCCGAAGTACGGCTTCTGATAGTCCGCGTTCAGACGAGTGATGATGTCCTTCTTGTTTAGCCGAAGAGCAAGTTCCAATTGTTCACGTGGTAGGGAGAAGTATTTGTCGTCGAATTCCTTCCACAGCAGAGCGCAACGGCTTGCCACGACGTGAATCGGCTCGCCCAGCTCTGAAGAAACCGTGATCAACCCGCCCACAACACCTGAGTAACTAGTTTCCCACTCCGATTCCTCGATACCCGGTGTGTTTACAAGCAACTGCTTGACTTCCGGCGCCGTCGCAGCCTCCTTGGCAACCATCACACGAGAGCCAAGTAGAATTCCATCCACTGGCATCCTGTACGGATAACCACGCGTCAAACTCCACTCGCCCGTAAGATACTGCACCGAGTCCTCCCAGTTACCGAAACCAGAGCCAACAACAAGCAGAACGTTCGACACGCGACGTATTGCGGCGTACATCTCCTCCATCGGCTGGTGAAAGTCCTCAAAGCTGTGGTGACCACCAGCGCGTCCACCAGTCCACTGAATCATTACAGTCATAGTCGGCACTGCCGTCGCAATCTCCAATACCGAATGAATACCGTCAACTGAACCCGGTTTGAAGCTCACCAAGTGGATACCGACAGCCTGGAGCTGCGTCAATATTTCAAGCCCACGCTCTTTCGTTGGAACTCCAGCGCCGATCGTGACACTCTCAATTGGCACTTCACTACGACGCATGCGAAGCACCATGGGGAACTGGAACCCCCACTGCTTCGCGTTCAAATACAGCATGTTGATCGAAATCCCATGGCCGGGCTTTAACTTGGACACGAGATCTGTCACTGCATTTTCAAAGATGTTAGACCGCGACAGTCCACCCGCAGCGAGCTCAGCGTGGAAACCAGCGTTCTGGATAGCAGCAACTAGGTCGATACCTTCCAAACTGGTAGTCGGCATCATTCCAGCGACCATAACCGGCGGCTTGTTCAGCACACGCGTGAAGTTGTTGTAAAGATCGCCTGACTTGGTCACTTGTAGACCGAATTTCTCAGCCCACGTCTTCTTCTTCGAGGTAAAAGTCGGCGCTGCGTCGATAAACTGCTGAAGACCGACCACCTGCATGGATAAATCCATAATCGGGTGTTTGGCAGTCGCAATGATCACTTCGATGCCCAATCCTTCCGCTGGTTTGTTGCTCAACTTCGCCACGCCGAGATCTGGGCCGAATTCGAGGACATGCGTCGCATCAGGGTGAAGCTCTGCAATCTTTGACCACGTCGAAGTCCAGTCCACAGGCTGTAACAACTGCAGCTTAATTATCTCTTCAATAACATCGTCAACTGTCTGCAGATTGTTCGCATCCATGTCCGTAGCGTACACTGGGACTTGAAGGTGGCTGCCTTTGAGTGTGAACCGAAGGCGCTGAACATCCTGGAGCACCTTTGGCACCGCAGCACTCAATAACGGAGTGTGGAAGGGAGCAGAGAGCGGCAAAAACGACAGCGATCCTGTGGGTTTTCGCTGCGAGTACGGGACGCGAGTCTGGTCAACATCAGACCCGGCCATTATCCCCTCGAGTGTCTGCTTTAGAGTCCTTAAAGACGCAGGGAAGCCCGTCACGTTGATCAAATCCGACGCGTTGATAAGCGCGAGATGCAGATCCGGCATTTCAGCTTGACTCTCAATAGTCTCGAGCACCTGCTCCTTCTTGAGTCCTCGCACCGCCAGCATAGGACTAGAGCTTCCATTCTTCTGATTGTGCTGCTCCAACAGCTCCAGATACGCCTCCTGAGTCCGCAGTCCTTGCCAGAACATATAGCGCAGCATGGCTACACCCAGTTCTTGGAACTCTTCGATCGTCTTGGCTGCCGAGAAGACGACAGCACTCACTACTCCCTGGCTGTGGCCTATAGCCGTGGTAGAGTTCGTAACCATCCCCCCGTGGGTTACACCTGTGGCCTCGAGGAAATTGAGGTAGTTGGCGCACTGCGTTAGCATCAGCATTGGCATACTGAAGAAGACGCGGTTGAGCTCCAAACCCTCGAGACTGTCACGTTGCAGCCAGTCTTTCAAGTCAATGACAGCTTCAAAAGCGACGGATCTCTGGGCCTCGTCCGTGCCCGACTCCTCCAGCAACGCCTGTACCGCCGTGTCGAGGAATGAGCGTGTAGTGCCCTTGGACGAGACATAAAGACGCTGCAGCTCCGACCAGTAGGAAATACCTTGGCCGCCGAACTCCGGGATGAACTTGTACTTGTCCACATCGAGTAGAGTATTGGTATCACTCATGTTGACGCCCTTAAAGACGAAGGGGATGGTGGTGTAGCTTAGTTTTCGATGAATTTGAATTGTGAGTCTCGCTGTGGCGCTTGTAGTTGCCTGTTCGTGATCATCTAAGGTGTTCAATTCATCTAGGTGAACTCCTGTACTTGGTCACCTATCACAAACGTCATTGCTCTGCACCTGCAGCTCCAGTACAGCGGAGATAAGTTGATGAAGCCTCGTCCTGGACGAGTCATCGATCGGGTTGCGTATTCCGCACTAACAATCGGGGCTAGAGATTACTATCGACAATGTAGTTTGATCTGGCGAAGTGCCATTGGCTGGGAAAGCCTCATCTTCGTTAAAGACGGAGACTGGGAAGTCTTCGTGAACGCGATGACGCGAAGCAGCTTAGATCGCTTGTGCTGGTCACGTCATGCGACTAGCTCAAGTCGCGGCATGTATCGTCGGTGCAGGCCACGAGAATGATTGAGCTGTTTCTTACTTAAGTGAATCCACTGCTGAAGTAAGAAACATTTCATTTGCGCATAATCATTTTTAACTCACGCCTTGTTTCGTGAAGTAACCGCAAGGTTCAGCACCTTTCGCACAACGAAACATGACACAGAGCCCGAGTATGTTGCGGTCTGCTGCGGCCGAGGCGGGCGACGGTCTGCGGCTGTCGGCCTCGTACGACATCAAGTCGCGCGCGTCCTCAGCTTCGTCAGTGTCAATCTCCCCAGCTTCGGCCAGCCGGTCGCGCAGCCTGGCCGCGCCGTCGTCGCGTCACCGCTCAGTACCTCACGACGTACCGTTGCGCTTCCACTGGGCCGGCTATCTACAGAAGCGCAGCGATTGGCTTAAGCACTGGGAGACGTATTACTTCGTGCTGCGCGGCCGCTCTCTCTACTGCTATCTGTCCGAGGAAGACGCACGCCGCCAGAACGCCAAGTCCAAGATCAAGAAGGGCAAATTCGGCTTCTCGGACCGCGTGTCGCTCGTCAAGGCCTGGGACGTCGAGGATGTGTTGGGCGTGGCCACCGGCAGTACATCTGGCCAAACAGGATCTACAGCCTCCACGCCGGTGGCGGGCGCTGGCCAGGCCGGGGAAGCCGGGGCCGACGCCGTGACCGGGACAAGCCCATCTCCTAGTAATGGCCCGGACTCCGAGTCCGCCTTCAGGTTCACGCTGGCCACGCAGAAGGGCCATCAGCTACACTTCCGCACCAACTCGGAGGCCAGCAAACACGCGTGGCTGCAGTTCGTGGCCAACGCAATCGCCGACCATGATCTCTCGGGCCACATGCGGCCGGCCGTGCAGCGATTGCGCACCAATGTGGAGGATTTTTACAGGGGATACGAGTACTTCTACGCTTCTCTGTGTGCCAGAGTGACGGCCGACGAGAGGGGAGTACGGATGGACGTGCCTCCGTCGCCATCTGCGGCAGGGCCGGGCACACCCGGCGGGGCCACGGAGGAGACGGACAGGTCCAGCCTTACACTGACGCTACCAAGCGGCAAAAAGCCGACGGCGTCATTCATGTCGGTGGCCCCCAACCAGCCTTTTGCGAAGACCAACGTGCTTCCTCCAATGGACCACGTGCTGGTGCGCTTCTTCTCTCTGTTAAAGTCCGATGTGATCCTACGCAGCAACTACCTGCCTATGGTCCCGTTTGAGGGCAAATACCGTGGCTTTGGCGGTATCCTCGAATACTTTTCGAGACTATCCCAGTCGGTGCAGGTCGAGCAGTTTATTGTGGAAAGTATCCAGATGGAGGAGGACGAGGAGCAGAACGAGACTCCAGACTACGAACCTCGTCACCGCCGGAATCGTAACCGGGTGGTAGTCATCTCTGGAACGGAAACGATGCAGGTACGATACAACCAGACGACGTTTATGCAGCAATGGACGCACAAGCTCCACTTTAAGCCGAACGATGGCGGCCGAGTGAGTCGCTGGGAGATTTTCGGCGATGTTGTGGCCTCCAGCGTCGTGTTCAAAGCACCCGGTTGCACGACGAACCTCACGTTGCCATCACTTGCCGAACGTATCCGTGAATCAGTGGTCGGTGGATACGTGGTTTCAATTAATCTGTACCAGATCACGGATGTTCGGTCGCGCGAACTGCAGGGCGATGAGTTTTTCGTACGTTGTTCACTGGATACCAACGAGTTTGAAGGCGTTTGGCACACGGAGGCTCAGTCTCGGGCGGCTCCTCCAGTGGAGTGTCCGGCCGACTCAAGTGAACTCGCACCGTCGTGGTCCTACAATTACCAGCAGGAGCTGTTCTTGCAGTTCGATCGACTCTCGCGCGATGACAACACAGTGCTGCTCATTGAGTGCTGTCGAAACTCGAATCACGAGGTTGTTGCTCGCACGCACGTGAACTTGGCCAAGTTTTTGAACGGAAGCAATGGAAGCAGCAGTTTTAGCTCTGGTAGTACGATTTCCAGTCGCTTGATGGGACGACGAAGCAGGAGGAAAACGGGAAGCGTTTCAAGAGCAGGAGAGCTGCATAGTTACGTGCTGTCGAACGACCACCAGAGTTTCTTTGGTAAACTGCAGCTAGGTCTCACTATCTCGTCCATGTCACATCGCTCGGTCTCACAACGTTCCTCGACGTCGAGTTTCCGGGATAGCTATCGAGACAGCTTCTGCTCCGACGACGGCAGTGTTGGAGCGACTTCTCTCGCGTCATTCGAAAGTCCGTCCGCTGCACGTACCAGTTTCCGCTCGTTCACTAAGCTGACGCAGCAGTTCTCGCCCCCTGGAGAGGAAGTTATGCACCAGTTTGTAATCAATGGCGTACGGTATCAATTGGCGGAGAAGTACCGCATGGTCAAGATCGTAGGGAAAGGCACGTATGGCGAGGTGATCGCAGCAAGCGACTTTGTACATGGCGGCACGTTTGCGATCAAGAAACTGGGCCAGTTCTTAAGGCATCCGAAGGTGGCGTTGCTGGCTCTACGCGAGATCAAGCTGATGAGCGAGATTGGCACACACCCGTGTCTTATGGGCCTCCACGAGCTGCAGCGACCTCTAGATTTTGAGCACTTCGAAGATCTGTACATCATCCAGCCGCTCATGGAGACGGATTTGTGTCGTATTATTCACTCAAAGGAGAGTTTGAGTGACGATCAGGTGCAGTATTTCCTGTACCAAATGCTCTGTGGCATTCACTATCTGCACTCCGCGGACGTTTTGCACCGCGACATTAAACCCAGCAACATCCTCGTCAACTCGGACTGTCGGATCAAAATCTGCGACTTTGGCCTTGCGCGACACGCGAACGACCGGGATCTGGCTGAAGGACTGTCGGAGTACGTGGTTACACGGTGGTACCGAGCTCCCGAACTGCTACTGGCAAACGCGTACACCAAGGCTATCGACATGTGGTCGATCGGCTGTATCTTCGCTGAGCTGTTGGGTCGGCGAATCATGTTCCCAGGAACGTCCTACGTAGACCAACTGAAGGTTATTGTGGACATTGTGGGCACGCCTACGACATTCAGCTTCTGTGATAACCCCGTGGCGCGGCGCTATGCCGGACGACAGTTCCTCATTCAGAACCCACATGTGCCTAAGGTGGACTGGGCCCAGATCTTCCCGGAAGCCAACCCGGACGGCTTGGATCTGCTGGATCGCCTGCTTCAGTTCGACCCGGCCAAACGTATCACGGCCGCCGAGGCACTGGAGCACCCGTACGTGAGTCAGTGGCGCGATCCGCTGCTGGAACAGCCGTGCAATGCCGATGTCGCGACCAAACTGACGCAGTTCGACTACGCGCAGATGACGTACGATCCGCAGATACTCAAGGAATTGCTCTACCAAGAGGTCATGAAGGCTCAGCACCCTCCACCCCAGCATCAGGAGACCATCGCAGAGTAGACAGACCTGTACCATGTAGACAAGCGAGAACCGTTAGGCAGTGAGGACACAGTAAACAACAAGCATCATAACTACTAGTTAACACAGCGACGAGAATGCCTTGCAGACTTACATTCGGCCAAGTTGCAGTGCGTAATAGCCACTCTTGAAAGAAAAATACACTTGTACAATGGAAACTCTCCATTGGAAAGAATCATGCAACGGGTCTATCGTAGCGTTTTGGAATACGCAAGTTGCTCAGGGGAGGATTTGCTGATGTTTTGAGCGCGCGTTAGTGGATATGGATTTCATATCTCCGTGCTAAAATGCTCTCTAAAGCCGACAGGTAACCAACCCGTTAAACAGAATCGCTTTTAATCTGCCTTTCTCGCTTGTCTTAAACGCATGTACAGTATGTTGTGGCCTAGAGAACCACCTGATATATCTGCATTTGCCTGGGCTTGCATTATAATAGGGAAGTCTCAAGTGCGACAAGACAAGAATTGGGATGGCTTATATCTAGGTAAATTGTTTTTCATTAACTTGATGGCTTATATCTAGGCGTTGACAGATGACAAACTATTGGGTGGTTAACTTAGCCGCTTAATACTGTATCGTATGGTACATGTGCATGATTTTTAGATCTCCCATCCTTGAGACTATCCAACAAATCGACGAGCGTTTTTTATGCGTTCATAGTTTCGGGGATGTCTCTTGATGACATTTAAGGCCCGTTCTCAACCGAAGCGTTTTTCGGACGCATGCGTGCCCTTTGCGATTTGATTGGCTGTGCAATCGGCTAACAGGCAGCATGATATGTTCGAGTTTTAGCCAATCAAAGACCTCCCATAACCAAACAGTTTACTCTCTCTTTTGCCGCCAACGTAGCAGTGTTTTACAGTCAAGATCGCAACAACAATGGCTCTGTATCCCCAAAGATCTCCAAGCGGACCTAAGCGATTCCCTGCTGCGCGCCAACGCCGCAGCCTGAAATCCGACGTTGAATTCTGCAGTCTTATTAGAGAATTTCCCCTGCAAAGAATCAGAACCCGCCGAGGGAGCGACAGTTTGCTGAACCTGGGGAAGTGTATGCATCTGCTGAGGAGGCTCCTGGGACGATGGGGCTTGGGGAGGAATATTCACCTCTCCTATTAGGGGATCCTGGTTTTCCATCGCCGCGCTCGTTAATTACCAGTAGTTTGGTAGCGGTTTAGCGCCAGGCTAGAACTACTAGAACACAACATGACTGGCTATTATTCTGCCAATGATAGTTAAGTATTTTGAATTGCGATGTTTAGGGTACGCATGCAACGCATATGTCCCTCTGACGCCTCGGTTGAGAACAGGCCTAAGTGTTGAACTTCGACATTGAAGTAGTCGTTACAATGTATTACAGTGCGCACAAGCTGACTAGGGTTGTTCGTGTATACTAATGCTGTCCAGGTACAGGTCATGAGTTCTTCCGAGGCTCTGTATTCTGTTGGATGCTACGGCTACAATTGACTGGAGCAGGAGAGTAGTTAGGAAGGTTTTCACCCGGCTGATCTCCGCTTGAGGGGGTCGGAACGGTTTTCTCCTTCGGCATTCCGAAATACACGAACTCCTGCTCACCAGAACAACGTTCAGTACAATATTAAGTACCTGTAGACCTCCATCCTTGAAACTATCTAACAAACTGACGAACTGGTGCTTCAAGACACAAACTTTGTGTCACCAACTTATTAATAGTCGCGGACTTAACGTCTCAAGACTTTTGGTCCTTATCCCATCGTAGTGAAAACCGCCTCGATTTACACTAAATCGGAAGTTGTTATCCTAAATGATTTGTCCCCAAAGTACTAATATTGTAGTGGCGAGATGAAAACAGAGTTTTGATGTCGCAATTGTATAGGTTGGATAGCGGTATTTTGACCGTGGCTGCTAATACTATGACTTTAATGTAATGCCAAACGCGTGTTGATTGTGGGTTTATGTGCAGTTTGAATCGGCAAGAATGCTTACCTGCATAATAGGGGTTGTCAGAGTTGCGGAAAGCTTTTCAGACGGCAGGGGCGAAGAATTCAAGACACTTCCGATCACCATCTCAATGATGAAAGCTACCGTATCTCTAACTGAACAAAAGGAAACCAAACAAGTTTGAGCCAATAACACAATTCTTAGCGGCATTTTTTTCTGTCTGATCTGATTTCGATAGGTGCAGTTCGGGATTTGCATACCCTGTCATATCTGCTGAAACAGATGAGAAACATAAAATTTTTGTATCCAGTTATTACAGTGCCCGCCAAATCATTAAGACTCCCGATTTGGCGGGACACTTCTGACAATATCTCGGCTTCTAGCCTGAGTTGAGAACTGCAAGTTTGAT